ATATATATATATATTTATTTATTTTTATTATATATAATCTAACAGAAATGGTTGAATCTTGAATTTTTAGTGCCCCCACATGCCCCGCCCCCTACTGTGTCTCTTTGAAAAAACAAACCAAAACAACAGCTGCTCTTGTCTTGTGTCTCAGATCCCACGTGGCTGTCCACCAACCTGGGCATCCTCACCTGTATCGAATGTTCTGGGATCCACAGGGAGCTGGGAGTCCACTACTCCAGGATCCAGTCTCTGACTCTGGATGTCCTCAGCACCTCGGAGCTCTTGGTAAATTGCCTCTGGCGTCCGTAATATCCCTCTATTAAACCCTAATTGGACAGTGTCCTCCTTAATTAGCGTCTTCTCGGAGACCTTCAGCGTTCTGTTCACCCAGAATAGCTGGGATTTACTCTGGCTTGTTCTAATCACCGTTTGGTGGAGACGTTTGGCGTTTGCGGGACATCCTGGATTAAATGTTTCCAGGGACGGTTGTCTAAGACGCCAGGCGTGTTGACCACAATCACATGGGTGTAGTTCACTTAACAGAAGTGAACTACAAGTGAACAAAAAAGAAGACTTGGTTTTAATATATATGTGTGTCTCTTTGTGCTCCACAGCTAGCCAAGAATGTTGGGAATGCAGGCTTTAATGAAATCATGGAGGGTTGTTTAAGTGCTGAAAATGTGGTGAAACCCAACCCAGCCAGTGACATGTAAGTCACCCTCTAACTGTCTGCTCCACACCCTCACCACCATCTTCAATGTTGTACATGATTTGACATTATGTGAAAACCTGTATATGTATATATATATGTATACGTATAAAAAACCTGTATATATATATGTATATGTATATATACATGTATATCTATATGTATATATGTGTGTATATATTTATATATGTATGTGTTTGTATAGACATATACATGTACATAAATATGTTTATGTATGTATATATGTGTACATATGTGTATATATTTATATATATATGTATGTGTGGTTTGTATACACATATATATGTCCATAAATATGTATATTTGTACATGTGTCTATATATTTTTATATATGTATGTGTTTGTATATACATATATATGTCCATAAATATGTATATATGTTTATGTATATATGTACATGTGTCTATATATTTATATATGTGTTTGTAGATACATATATATGTACATAAATATGTATATATGTTTATGTATGTATATATAGATGTACATATGTGTGTGAATGTAATGTGTTAGATTGACTTTGTCTTTAAAATGTAATTTAGTGTAAACATATGTGCAACATACAGTACTGTATGTTAGTGTGGTTGATGTATTGACACATTTCTTCATAAATCATTAGTAAATGTCTGTTCAATATGTGCTCTGTGACCCGTGACTCGACTTACATAGAAAAACACTGGGTAATTTATGGGAGCAATTATGTCGTCCCCCTTATGTCCATGTTACAAAATACAGTCACTACAAATCAGAACCCACTCTGCCTATGTTACCAAACCCCCCCCCCTGCTGGTTTCCTGACATGCTTCAACCAATCAAAATGTTGCATAATGGAAAAACCACAACATGTTAAAGCTGGGATTTACTTCAGCTCCAGCAACGACACTTTGGAGTTTTTCAAGGGTCTGAAGCTCAATGAATGAATGAATGAATGAATGAATGAATGAATGAATGATAAATATATGTCAGAGAAATACATGGTGTAACTGAAGCTAGCTGTAGCTACATGGTCCTCCAGTCTCCGTCAGCTGTAACTGAACTCTCTTCTCCTTAACTCCGTCTCTAGGCAGGCGAGGAAAGACTTCATCGTAGCCAAATACACAGAGAAACGTTTCGCCAAGAAGAAGTGCCTCGACGTTACGTCACGCCTCCACACGCTGTGCGAAGCAGTGAAGGCCCGAGATATTTTCTCCCTCATTCAGGTCTACGCCGAAGGACTGGACCTCATGGAGCCCATACCTCTGGCCAACGGACACGTCAGTTCACCGCTCGACCTCAGGACTGTAAATCTCACAGCAGCCGATGACTCTCAACAGACGTGGTCTTATTTATGTCTTCATTTCAGGAACAAGGGGAGACGGCTCTTCACTTGGCAGTGAGACTGGTGGATAGAACGTCGCTGCACATCGTTGACTTTCTCACTCAGAACAGGTAAAACAGGAACAGGTTCTCTGCAGAGTGAATTATTTTTACTGAAAAAAAGAAACAAAACCAAATCAAAATTTTATTTTTTTTATTGGAGTCGTTTTTTAATAATATCATAGTAATGATATTATATCATAATTTTCTCTGTTATTAGTTTTAATAATTATGTAAGGCTTACATCACTGGTACAGTCCGGTCCCACACCAGGGAGGAATGTCACTTAACTTGGCCGGAAATGTGTTGCTGTTGGAACGTTTCGAAATGTTTTCTTAGAACTTGGATAATAATAATGTTTCAAAAAGACTGAGGTAGAAGGGAGTTAGTCTCAGTCTCAGACTTAGTTGTGACTTTTTCCAGTTGAGTCAGTACAACTGAGGGAGGGAGGGAGACAGAGACAAACAAAGATATAGCGAGACAGAAACAAAGAGAGACATAAAAATTGGAGACAGAGAGACCGCAGTGGTTGGACGTGGGCCATGCCAGATTTTTTTCATCTCTGCATCAGTTCATCTAGTCAACGTGGTTTTATTCCCACGCAACTTTCTATTCAGTTTTCAAATTAGATAAAGAAGTCTGTTTCCTAAGACAAAAATAAAATCCTTTAATTTACCAGTGGTGCACTCTAAGACAAAAAAATCCTTTAATTTACCAGTGGTGCACATTTTACTAAATACTCAGCTGCATCAGTTCATTCTCACTTCAGGACAAAGACATTATGTCTCGCTGCAGCTCCACAGACAGAAGTGTTGCGTCATTCTCTGGATTCAAAGTGACCTCCGTGTGTTCGTGTCTCCTCACAGCCTAAATCTGGACAAACAAACAGTGAAAGGCAGCACGGCTCTGCATTACTGCTGTCTGACCGACAACAGCGAGTGTCTGAAGCTGCTGCTGCGGGGGAAAGCTACCATAGAGATCGGTGAGGAATTACACTATTTTTTTTTTTTCTTTGTCCCATGTTGCCCTTTAGTTCCCACAGATGTGAGCCTCGCCAAATGACCGTGACAGTGTTTTTCTCCCAGCACTGGTTTATCTGCTGCGCTCTGACAACAACAACACAATCAGTTAATGTAGACACGGAGCCAGAGGAAGAAATTGAAACCAGAGGGGATGCTCCGTGTGGGAAACTGTCTAATCAGAGATTTCTCATGTCTCAGCACAGTGTTTTTTTTGTGCTCATGTCACATCTGGATACAACAGCGCTATAGCCTTCTTTTTGTTCTCTCTTCAAGCTAACGAGGCCGGAGAGACGCCGCTGGACATCGCTCGGAGGCTCAAACACCTGCAGTGTGAGGAGCTGGTGAGATGATTGTTTTTGTGTTCACTTTTATTTTCTTCATCAGCCAGTAAGAATACACACACACACACACACACACCAACAACTGTTTGTTTTTCTGTACATACAGTTGAACCAAGCACTGGCCGGGAAGTTTAACGCTCACGTCCACGTGGAGTACGAATGGTGTCTCCAGCATGAAGACTTAGACGAGAGTGATGAAGATCTGGATGAGAAGGTGGGAGTGGGAGTTTTCCCAGTGAAGCGAAAATGCTTAGATATAGAAAAACATATGATTTATACAAACAAAACCACAAAAGAAAACATGAAGGAGATCAGTTGGAGACAAACACGGGCCGTATGTTTGACAAACATATTAACAATTTAATAAACCTGGAAATACGTGTGCCTGTAAAAATCACAGACTTGTCCTTTATTTAAGTGTTAATTATATTATATTATTAAGAATAACTCGATACTACTTCCTGTCCAATACTGCAACATTGAGCATCTACCAATATCTTCGTTATCCGATTGGACAGGCTAGTTGCTTTTTTCGATATTTGATCCTGAAAACTTAACCAATATCGTACCGATACCGATCCTGAGTTTCGGATCACCCATCCCTAAATATATTCCCATTGTTTTTACATTAATAGTGAGGTTTACTGGTTCACCATCGTTGACTCCTGTGTGACTAGTTGTGTAGTCGAGTCCTCCCTCAGTATGTTTATCTTCTGGATTCTTCATGAACGTCATTGTCTTGAGGTTTTAGAAACAGTTGTGCATAATTTTCTGAACTTTATGAAGTAATTGTGTAATAAATTACTCTGTCAGATTAATTAACAAGAAAAGTTTGTCTGACATCAAATTGTACTTGTACTTTGTATGTTAGTATGATACAAATCATTTTCCCATCATGCCCCTGCAGCCCAGTCCTCTGCGCAGAGAAGAACGCCCGGTCAGCTGTTACACCCCGGGCAGTAACTCCACCCACGGTCCTCGTGACGGCATCAGGGACCTGATCAAGGACAAACAGCGAGCCTTCATGCCCAACCTGGTCAACAACGAGACCTACGGGACCATCCTCAACGCTAACAGTAACCAGAGCGTCACCTCTGGTCCGCCGCTGCCCCCGAGGAACCTGGGTAAAGAAAAAGACAACATCACAGTCACACAAGGATAAAAGTCACAGCCAGACGTTTTTTTAATAATTTAGGATACGTTATCAGATTTGACGATATATTGAATTAAATTTGTATATATTTTTGATTGTGATATAAAATGATATTGATATATCCTCTATATTGATACATGTACAAAAACAATCTGCCCCAATCGGGGGCAGATGAGAGAGACTGTTTAAGGCTTCCCCTGTTTAAATCTGTTAAATTAAAACTGTTTAAGTGCACTCTTGACTTAATGCAGTAGGGGGCATTACATAACATAATTGATAAAATCCCATGGTGCACTGCCAACCAAAAATGCCATAAAAAGTGCGTGTAATTATATAAAATGTTCTAGGTTTCAGTGACAGTTTACTCACGTGGTGTGAAACCTTGAGCTGTTTAGTTGAACACAACCTTTTATTTACAGGAATTGAAGAAAGACACTCACAAAGGTCAACAGCTTTGAGCCTCACATTTTTGTTATTTTTTTAAAAATATCCAGATGTGGTTTTTATCACTCAGCTCCAGTACAGTTACTGTGTAACGAGACTTCACTTATAAAAGTGTCAACATTTTTGTCCTAAAAAAAATTGCGAAATTATACTCGGGATCCAACCTACGTAATTATTCCATCTGTGGAGACATTTGGACAGTTTGACCTCTGTCTTCTAACAAAGCAAGCAGAGAAAAGTCACATGGGTCGACAGATGGACAAGCTGCCGTCCCGGAAAAGTTGCTGAAAACGCATTATAATGTTCGCGACGCTAACCCGACCTTGGTCATAGTTGAGAGAAGGATTTCAAACAGCCTTGTTAAATCTGCTGGTTCAAACAAAATCAGATTGAAGTTGTAAGGACTTGTGACACGTCCACTACAGCGGTCTTTAATAACATTAGTGTTTGTCTGGAGCGCTGCCAGTGGAGCGGAGGAGAAACCAGCAGCTGTGCTCCTCTCCACAGACCTCCTTCTTCACATTCTCCACATTCCCTCTCCCCATTAAATGTCCTTCTCAATTACACTCAAACGGCCAGGGCTTTTAAGTGGTCACTGGCAGAGTGCACTCCAGTCCCCTCGTCCTCTGTCTTCCTAATGTCTTCTCTCTTTTCATCTCCTTCTGTCTTTCAGTCCAGTTATCTGGACTGGGCGGGGTTAGTCAGTCCTGCGTGTCCAGCGGCTGGAAGCCTGGTCCTGCGGACATGATGGGGCGGCAGAGGTCATCCTCGGACCCGCCCAACATGCACCCACCTGTCCCTCCTCTGAGACTCACCTCTACTGCAGGTATGAAGACTATTGTCCAAACTAAAGTATATCTTCTAAAACATTACATTTATAACAGCTGTGGTTCCCAAATTGGGGGGCGGGGGCCCCCGTAGAGGACGCACAATTATTGCATTTTTTTTTTTAATTTTGTGGTCCAGTGAGTTTTTTGGACTAACATGTATCTTAGTTGTAATTTAATCAATAAAACAGTTTTTTGTGTTTTTTCTTGCCTTCTTCTGTCTTCCGTTCCATTCGGTTCTCACTGTCATTTTTTCGTCTTGTTTACATGAGGGAATCAGTGATGATGGGCCATTTTTTTATTAGTCCACTCGTTCATCAATAAAGTTTGTCATCGCCCTTTAATCCCACTTCACTTTCTGCTCTGTTTCCATTTAGTTTTTATTTTACAAATGAATGTGTTTGATGATAATTATAGGTCAGTGAACTCAACGCTGGCTTTCCCTAAAATGACAATTAACGGTTGTTAATATACTGTACCAACAAGAACCGAACCACTGTGAAGTAAAGTGTGTGTCCTGATGTGTCCAGGCCTGGGTCCTCCTCCGGTCATAAAGCTGGACTCCATGAACATGCAGTCCAAGTCGGGCCAGGGACCACTGGGCTCCAGGGCCATGCAGCCAAAGTCCCCCGCAGGGTGAGAAAAAGAGAGAGTGGAGAGTTTTGGTTTTTTTTTACAGCAGTACTGCAGTATTACTGCAGTACTGCTGTAATACTGCACTGTGTCCTGTGTTAGTAAACCTGTGTTCTTCATCCTGCAGCAACGACAAAAACTTCAACAGGAGTCCACTGAATCGAACGCACTCCATCGAGAGACCAGGTGAGAACCGGGCTGATGAGTGTCACATGGTTTTCTGTGCACGATCCTTATTGGTTGATTTTACAAAAGGCGTGGTCGTCATGGTCGCCCCATCATTGGTTCATTGTCCATGTTTCCTAACCAGTGTTGATGTTTAGGGTTTTATTTTTGACTTTGTCACAACATTGCCTTGCCACTGTTGTGATGTCATTTCCTCTTCCTGTTCCAGCTAAGGAAGTGCCAGGATGCCCCAAGAACTCCATAGGTCAGTCTCTGCCTCCAGCTCCGATGCCGAGGAAAGCCTTCCCAGTGAGTCCTGAACTGTTTCCTCTCATTATCTCACACACACACACACACACACGCACACACACGCACTGGGATGTGTGAAGAACCATTTCATTCCCTGAATCACCGGCTGCTGATTTAACAACTTCATTCTTTGATTAGTGCGGTGCAGTTTCCCCCTGTCGCCCGTCTCAGTCTTCTTATTGTCTCGGTGTTTCCAGAGTTTGATCAGGACGTTAGTTTCCTTCCTGTACTCTCAGACAGAGAGCTTCACTGACGGGGTTTTGTTCAGAACACGTCTGAAGTTTCTGTGGCTCTAGTTTTGTTTTTATTGTAGACATCATGGTTTCTTTTTTTTTAGAAGACAAACATATCAGGCAGTAAACACTGGCATTGAAGTTATTTTTTTTTGCTCCATATGATTGATGCAGTAATTAATTACAGTGCCCTGGATGACAGACTGCACTGGATTAAATTAAAAATATATTCAGTCAGACCGCAGTTTCTGTTCTGCTCATTGATTCGGGTTCTTGATCGTTGGTTGAGCCTGTAGGATGAACATTAATAAACAGCATCGTTAAATGATAAAAATGTGGAATAATTCATTAATTAATTAATTCATTAAATATTATAACACTGCATATTTTTATGGAACATTTAATTAATTAATTAATTAAATATTATAACACTGCATATTTTTAGATGATTTTTTTATATTTCAAGAAAAAAAACCATTGTAAAAAGAAATTCAATTTTTTTGACTGTTGTCAAATGTTATTTATTGATAATAATTTAAATAATAAATTGATAATAATTAAAAGCATTTTTAAAAAATGCCTTGCCCCCCCACCCCCTCACCCCTCCCCGGGGCAGATGTTTTCATGCTGTCTGTGCCCTTCTTTCAGAAACAGAGACCCAAGCGAGTCAAAGCCATCTACAACTGTGTGGCCGACAACCCTGACGAGTTGACCTTCACTGAGGGTGAGGTGATCGTGGTGGACGGTGAGGAAGACCAGGAGTGGTGGGTGAGTGTCTCTCCTTTTCCCATGTTTTCACTATTGTTATTATAAAATAAAAAAGTAAAAGCTGTTTACACATCTGTGGAGTTTAAAGCTGTTCTCTGACTTTTTTTTACAGGTCGGCCACATTGAAGGGGATCCAGTGAGACGAGGAGCGTTCCCCGTTACGTTCGTCCACTTCATCTCTGACTGAAAGGTCACCGCAGGAAGCAGAGGTCAAACTCCTCTCCTCTGTGTTTGTCAGCATCATCCCTGTGTTCAGCTGTTGACGTCACAGAACCTGGTCCTTATTTAAGCTACAACTCTGTCAGACCCCGGGGAACTGTCTGTGGTTCCACTGCTGTTTATGTTCTTTACACAGACACGATTGTAGTCGACGGCCTCTTGGAATAAATGCACTTTCCTTGTTATGATCCTGGTTCAAACATGTGACGACATGAAGGTTGTGTGTTCACTGTCCCCTCCTTTCCTACACTAATACTTCAGAGCATCTTTCTTAACCCGATCAGACGACATGCTAACATTCCACTGTTGCGCTCCCATGACGTACCCCTAGGTGCAACTCCTCAGATGGTAGCCCTCCCGTGTGAGGAGGTTTTAACAATGGTGCTAATTTATCCCCAGAATGTGCTGGACCATAAGCTGCACCTTATATGAAAAGAGTCCTCGTCTCCGTCACCGGGAGAAGAGACACTGCTGCTTGTCCTCCGCCTGTCTGTAGAGCCTCGGAGCCTCACTTAACACCACACACACATACACACACACGTGTAATATGTTATTAATGCCTTCAGCAGTTTGTCCTTCATTTTAGACCAATTACCAGACACTGACACCTAGCGTAGCAGCAGTCAGTTATTAGCTTTAAGTAGAGTTTGACTCAGCTCGTTATCTGCCTTATTGGACCAATAGAAAGTGTGTGTGTGATTGTAGGTGTGTGTGTGTGTGACTCCATGTTAGTAGCAGTGTTTGTTTTTCCCACTTTGTTCCAGCTTAATCTCCACTTTTTTTGTACATTTCTGGGATCCTGTTGTGTAGACAGATGTGTTCAAGTATAGCATTATAAAATGAATACGAAACACACACCATGTAATTATCTTGACCTGGGTTGCAGAGCGACTTTCTTTCTGTTCATATTAATGATGTCATTAACGTGAGCCTTTCATGGATGTGTGAACGACCAGAAGAAAAGCTTGTGAATCACAGCAGAGTCTCTTCTACTTCGTGTTTAATATTAATTCACTGGAAACAGGAAGATCTGAAAACATATTTGTGTAAATACTTTTTTTTGTGTTTGTTTTATTTAAATGGTAAAAACAGAAGAGCGGAGTGAAGCTGTGCAGTGACTGTCTGTGGTGACGAGCAGGTCCAGATATAAACCTGAACCTCAGCTTTGTCTGTGCAGTGAAAACACTCGCACTCACACAACTGGGACACCAGGCTGGCTTCACTCCCATCAACTGTCTGTGGATCACTGCATCAACTCTTAACTCTATTGTACCAGACAATGGGAACGTGAAACTGGAATAATAAAATATGGAATAAAAACAGCGCTGCTGTTTCTTTCTTAAGTTGTTATTATCGTTAAGAATTACATCATTTGCGCAGAGTTTCTCTGGCGTAAGATTTTTTTTTTTTTTTTTTTACAATATCAGGTATGTTTGTATGTTCATAAAAACTGCTAATTTGTCCCACATATTTCAACATTATTTTGTGAGCCTGTGTTAATCTTAGGCCAATTGTTGGTGCTCAGTGTTAAGTAAATAGCGCAGTAACTCTTAATGTGTATGAAATTATATTTTTTCAAAAATGACGTGTGCTCAATGTTGACCTGCAGGTTGTTTTGGTTTTTGTCTCAACATCTCCCTCTGCTGGTCAATCTACGGACTGACCTGCCGTACTAAACGCAAACTACGTTCAAATGCAGATTTGACACAGAGTCGGAGACGAAAAACAGAGTCCAGACAGCAGAGTACTTTAGTGGTAAACGTATACTTTATTGTACCAGAGAACACACTGTCGAACTGTCTTTACTGGAACATTGAAAAGGCAGGTTGACCTGTATGTACAGAACCAAGTCCAGTTTAAAATGACAAATGTAGATCACTTCAAGCATTAAAACAACTGATTAGGTTTATTCTGCTGTCAAAAACCGTGTACCTGAAAAGATATGTACTGCAACAAATACATTGAGCGTTTGGTACTTTTACAGAGAAAAAGAGTAAATGAGTGGTAAAACGTTATTGAAATTAATAAAAATAAGTCGGATATGTCTGAAGAGGCAGTTAAAGTATTTCATGTACCGTCTTCTTGGTTTTAATGTGCATTAAACTGTACTGTGTATTCGTACAACTGAATATCTGACATTACCACAACATACAAAAAATAATGCAGTTTTAAAATATATATATGTTTTTGTCCATCTCAGCATTGAGCATGTTATTCTTCCCTGGCCGGTAGGTGGTGCTAAGAATACTTCATAAAGCCCTGCAACCTGTGCATTGTTTCATGTAATTCGAATCCAATAAAGAACTGGGTAAAACATTTAGTTACTACATAAGTTACTGATGAAATCCAAAAATATGAAGACACGTAGCACTTAACGTGTTACGTTGTTGGCTTAGGGTGTTAGCTGTATTTTAGCGAGGAGTTGGCGCTTAGCCTATTAGCACCGCGTTGATATGTACCGTTTTGAGAGTCCGTATCCTGAGCAAAGCTAACCCTGCTATGACACCCAGCAGTTTCTCTTCGCTTGGCGGCGGTGAGTTGCAATATTTTACACCGGAAAATATCTGATGTAGAAAAGAACAGAAGAGGGAAAGCTAAAAAAAATAAACTGTTCCTCGAACCAAATACTGTATAATAATACTAACGAATAATTTAAGCGATTCCGCGTTTTTTTTCCACCGTTGTACCATATTATTTACTCGAACAACTGTTGTTTTTTTGTGCCGTTTAAAAGATAAAAAAAAAAAAAAAAACGTATTTAAAGGAATTCACGATGATTTTTTGTTTCTTATCACTCAGCGCAAACTGGCAAAAATGCGAAACACTTTTTGAATTAGGTTTTCAGTCAGGTATGAGGGTAAAAAGAATGACAAGAAAAGTAATTTAAAAAAATAAATCACATTTTTGGCAGCTGTAGAGTTTCGTCTGAACTCACTGTTGCTAAGTTTGCAGTTGTTTCACGTTTCTTCGGGACAAATCTCCCGCTCTTCTCCACCTCGGTCCTCAGGACTTGCCTGACGTCAGAGCGCAGTCAAACGACGCCGACAGCACTTTACAGATAGACTGAGCCTGCTCCTGTTCACAAACACATCCCATAGAAATCTATAAGAACACGCACACATGCAGACCCGGCAATGTTAATGTTACAGTTCACTTCAGTCCAACTCACCGAGCTGCCGCACTGATAAACCCAAATGCTGCATTCCTCCTGTTTTGTGTCAGTGGTTTTCAGAGCCAGCAGGTTCTTCCCTGAACCGAGGCCGTCGTCGTAACACAGCATACGGACGACCAGGTACAGAGGGTGTCGATGCAGCACGTCCTGGGGATGGGGACGGGTGTATGATATGATATGAGATTCACAGCTTTGAATATAAACTAAAAACTACATGATGACTAGTTAGGTTTCTGTAGCACACGGACATCTCCCATGTTTTGCCGTGCAAAGCAGCTAATTTAGTGTAGCGGTTAGCAAGCCTGCCTCACAGGTAGAGAGTCCTAAGTTTAATTCCCAGCAGAACAACTATCCCTAATGGCGCCTCCTGTGGCAGACTGTGTCGTTTGCAAAGCCTCGCACCTTAAATTTATGTGAATTTTATTCACATAATAATAATAATAATAATAATGACTATTATTATTATTTAAAGTAAGAAATCCTCAGAAGTTAAAAGATTCTCCCAACTAAGCATTAATAATAGTTATAACAAAAGTTTGAAAATGAAAAACTTACAAAAAATGCATTTAAATAAGCACAAAAAGTCAATTACCACCACTATAACAACAATATAGAGGTAAACTACATTTGTGCTACAGTGTCTAATCATGTAATTTTAAAGTCAGTCTTTGGGTGCATATATATCATTGTATTGGTCTGTTACTCACACACTGATCCGCAGAGGCCAGTTTGACTCCATACTTGGACACACCCAGAATCATGTCCTCGTCTCCGGGGACGAAGGGTAGCCTTCCATCTTGCTAAAACAATGAATTTAAAAACACAGCAGTAGAATTCGGATTTGTTTTTCATAGCAACATCGACCGTTGTCCCTGCTTATCTTCTCCAGATCCTCACCTGAGCTGCATCGATGTAGTTGATGAGGTCCAGAGGTTCCTGCAGAGTCCTGCTCATGTCAAACTGCAACTTCTCGATGACTCCAACATACTTGACCCGGAATTCAGCGCAGGTGTCAGATGCACTGTTACCTGAGGGCATTGTGTCAAATGAGCAGTAAGTGGGGAAGGAACGGGGGCAAATATGTAGAAGAAGAAGTCTGATGACTGACCTGAGCTCTTGGTGGAGTCGGTGTCAAGGCTGGCGACTGTGCTGGATCTGGACAGACCTCCCAGACTGGAGTCCACAGACTAACAGGAAGCCAACAGTATTCACTGATGTTCACGGTGTGAAAAGTGATCATCTCCATGTGTGTGTGTGTTCATAACTATACCTTGCTTTTGGTGCTGATCTCACTGCTCTGAGAGCTGCTGCTGCTGTGCCGCTTTTTCACTTTCCGGAACATCCTTCAACATGACGACACCCTCGGGTTCCTCCAAACCTCCAGGTTAGTCTGCATCATGGTGAGGCACAGTGTTAAACATAAGACAGAGTGACTGGCTTCTCGAGTCTCAGCAGAGACGGTGAATAATTCAGTGAAGAACACAGACAGGTTAATATTTAAAGGTGGCTAAATGACAGCGAAGACCTTTATCTTAATGATTTTTCAGTCCGACTTGACCTGTTGTGAATGTCGTCTGATATTATATGTGTAGAACTATAGCAAATAGAAAAGGTTAGTCCAAAGGCTTCTAAGATTCTGATCTTATTTAATGTCACTTTTCTTTCCATCCTGAACCAAAAAACTAGAACACAATCTTTACCCTCAACCCATCCGTCCCACTGACTGCACACTTCACCCCTGGCTAACTGACTGCACCACCCATGCATTTTTTCTGCCTTTCTGCCATTCTTTTTCTCATGCAGTTCCTCTTTTGGTATTATATGAGCTTCTTCTAATCTGTTTTTAATGTTTAAAGGAGAAAAACTAAAAATCGTAAATAAATAATCCACACTGAAAAACAAATGTACGATGATAAAATGTTAGCATTAAGTTGTACTTATTTGTACAACTTCATGAGTCAGAAAGGTTGAGATATTTTTCTATACATAACTAAACAAGTTCTATAAAAAGTTCTTTACGGAACAAGAATACAGAATTCGTTGCACCTGCTGCTGTTATCGCTCGCTCTATTAATTGTTTAGTCTCTACAGAGTTCAGGTTTTGAAAGCAAGTTAAAAAAAACAAAACAATTAATACAATAAAATCCCCAAAGACCCAAGTACTCCTCCAGTCATCATAATAAACAAGTATGGCTTAATTTAGTTACTTTCATCGTGTTTTTAATAAAAACACTGTAGTATATTTACGAAGTAAAGTAAACTTCATACAGAAACTAAAACAGTCCCAACTCCACCTTAAATGTCTAACCATCAACACCGCATTCATTTCTACTCACTTTCACAGAAGCTCTTACAAACACAAGCACTACAGGTGTGGACTCAAATGTAACCCGACTGACTCGTACCAGTTCATTGTTGTCTAACCCGTTTTTTAATCTCCCATTCACATTAACCTTCTGTCCATTTTCGGTCTGTTTATCTTCAGTGTGGACTCGGCAGCTTCGCTGAGTTTCACAGCCTCCACCCAGCACCGATTAAAGGCGACACAGCCAAACAAAACACGCATCTCAAAACTCAAATCCTCAGCCGAACACCACCTGGCTCATTAATGTGTTCATAAATATGTTATAATAAAGTCAACGTGTTGTGTGCGTTTTTTGCGGCCACGTACCTTCATAAAGTAGATGTTTTATTCGCTTGGCTTCGTTACCGCAAGGCACACGGCTGTAGTGAAGTTCGTTTGTATTTGGAAATCGTAGACCAGTTTCTCGTGAAGAAGATACTACACACAGTAAATCATCAACATAAAACTAACTTCAGCACTGTAAACAGACGGATGTTGGTCGGAACTTTTGTCCTCGCTCTTGATTCCCGTCGGTTGTGTTTTGCTGAACCACCGGAAGTCTTACATTTTTGTTCCCATTCAACAGTTGCAGCAGCATGGTTTGACTAAATGTAAAGATATATATTAACCTGCTTAAATTGTAAAAGAAAAATGGCTACAAAACGGAAAGTAGAAGTGATGGTGCCTGCTGAAGAGAGCGACCAGCTTATTGTTCGCCCGCTGTGAGTTCAGTTAAATAGACCGTTACTTGATTGAAAGTGTCTGTTAATTTAATCTTGAAAGAACTGTAATAACAGAAAATGAATATGAAGTATGTTTCCACACATACAGGGGCGCTGGTCAGGAGGTCGGAAGATCGTGCATCATCCTGGAGTTTAAAGGCAGGAAAATAATGGTAAAATAACCAATAATAATACATATGTACTACAGGCCTACAAAAGATGACATCTTTCAGCGTAAACACAATTTAGAAAATTATTTTACAGCTTTTAGACCAAACTCTTGGCGTCATTAATAAAACGGCGCGTGTTTCGTTTTTAAGGGTTAAACGTTTTTATCCCATTTATTACATTAATTGTAAGCAATGATTGCGATTCCCGATATATATTGCGCTCAGGTTTTTTAATGTCACGTGTCTGTTTCATGTACCGAATCCCATTTAGATTTTTTACTTTGAAATGTTTGTTTCTTGTGCGTGATCCAATTAATATTTGTGCCTTTACAGTTGGATTGTGGTATTCACCCTGGCTTGGAGGGAATGGACGCCCTGCCTTACATAGATTTAATCGACCCAGCTGAGATTGACCTGCTGCTCATCAGCCAGTGAGTTTTTCTTCTTCTGTTGTTGTTCAACCTTGGTTCATTTCCTGTAGAAGATTTACAGTGACTTACGAGTGGACAAATACTGTATGTCTCCTAATTGCGTCGTAACTCTGGATACTGTCCCTAAGGTAAACTATCTGTTTTTGTGTGTGACACGTCTTTAGCTTCCATTTGGATCACTGTGGAGCCCTGCCCTGGTTCCTCCAAAAGACCAGCTTCAAAGGCAGGACGTTCATGACCCACGCCACAAAAGCCATCTACCGCTGGTTGCTGTCGGACTACGTCAAAGTCAGGTAGGAGATGTTTTTGTCTGGTCAGTAAACAAACATGATCCTCTGCTGAATTGACATCTAACTCATCTAACTGTTTTCAACCTTGAGTTTACGACCGTATAACCCCAGGGGTCACCTGAAATATCTAGTAATTGATAAAAAAAAATTTTCAATTTGCATTCAGCAGAGAACAAAAAAAAAAAAAAAAAAAATAAGTCTACTCTGGAAAGCCCCCACTTGCCCTACCATGATAATGAGGCAATTCTAATAAAATATCTGAGCTGGTGCACCTTAGTTGACAGCTGCGATCACGTGAATGCACAGGTAACTTGTACATTTTTTTGCAGCAACATTTCTGCTGATGACATGCTCTACACTGAGACAGACCTGGAGGAGAGCATGGACAAAATTGAGACTATTAACTTTCACGAGGTCAGAGAAGTTGCCGGAATTAAGTTCTGGTGTTACCACGCTGGTCATGTGCTGGGAGCTGCCATGTTCATGATCGAGATCGCTGGAGTCAAGGTACAAAGAAATAATAAAACAACTCGTCCTCCACCTTACAGTTTCTGTGTTTTCTCTCCTGTGTTAATGAGATGTTTTTTGTCCTATACAGCTGCTGTACACAGGAGACTTCTCTCGACAGGAGGACAGACATCTGATGGCAGCTGAGATCCCCAGTGTCAAACCTGACATCTTGATCATTGTACAGTTTCATTTTTAATGAATAACCTGTTTTTCTCTGTTTATTCTCTACATGATCAGACACAAGGTGAAAGCTGTTGTTTTGTTTTCTGTTTTTATTCAGGAGTCAACTTACGGCACACACATCCATGAAAAGAGGGAAGAACGTGAAGCTCGGTTCTGCAACACAGTCCATGACATTGTCAATAGGGAGGGTCGATGTTTAATCCCCGTGTTTGCCCTGGGACGAGCTCAAGAGCTGCTGCTCATCCTGGGTGAGTGCAGCTTATGTAACGAAAACAAAAAACTCCAAGATATATTTCATATTTGACTAATTTTTAAAGATTTATTTTTTTCTAATTGCTTATCGTAAGGTGGTCGTCCTTAAAGTCTGTGACGTTCTGTTCTTTGTTCCCCTCAAGATGAGTATTGGCAGAACCACCCGGAGCTCCACGATATTCCCATCTACTACGCATCATCCCTGGCCAAGAAGTGCATGGCCGTGTACCAGACCTACGTCAACGCAATGAACGACAAGATCCGCAAGGCCATAAACATCAACAACCCTTTTGTCTTCAAACACATCAGCAACCTGAAGGTAGAGCGACGTCCTCAGTCAGGCTGTTGTCTTCTACTCGCTGGTTCTGAACGCTGCTGACGGGACGGTAATTGTTGATTTTTTTAGAGTATGGATCATTTTGACGACATCGGTCCCAGCGTGGTGATGGCGTCTCCAGGTATGATGCAGAGCGGCCTGTCCAGAGAGCTGTTCGAGAGCTGGTGCACTGATAAGAGGAACGGTGTCATCATCGCTGGATACTGTGTGGAGGGAACCCTGGCCAAGGTCAGGTGCTCCACCGTGAACGTTTGTCTCACAGGTGTGGAGCTTCAGATGCTCATTGTGTTGCTGTGCACTCTTTGCAGCACATCATGTCCGAGCCCGAGGAGATCACCACCATGTCGGGACAGAAGCTGCAGCTGAAGATGTCCGTGGACTACATCTCCTTCTCGGCTCACACAGACTACCAACAAACCAGCGAATTCATCAGAGCGCTCAAACCACCGCACGTGGTAAATACTAAAATGTCTCTGTCGTATTTAGCTGTTCACATAAAACTGTCACTGCTTCTCACCTCTGCGTGTTTCCTCCCCAGATCCTGGTCCACGGGGAACAGAACGAAATGGCCCGTCTGAAGGCTGCTCTGATCAGAGAGTACGAAGATAATGACCAGGTTCACATCGAAGTCCACAACCCTCGCAACACAGAAGCCGTGGCGCTCAACTTCAGAGGAGAGAAACTGGCCAAGGTCGGTGTCGTGCCGTCTTTTTTTCTTTTGAATTTTTTCTGCTCGAAGTCATTCTTCAAAACAAAATCTGCTCCTTTTCTCAGGTGATGGGCTGCCTGGCTGATAAAAAATGTGTTCAGGGTGAGAGGGTGTCGGGTATACTGGTGAAGAAGAACTTCAACTACCACATTCTCAGTCCCTCTGACTTGTCCTGTAAGTAGCTTTGATTTTGTCCTAATCATGACATTGATTTTGGGATTGAAAAAAAAATGGAAATGGAAAATAGTTTGAATCCTGACTTTGCTGAGAGTAGTACTGAACTGTGTGTGTGTGTGTGTGTGTTACAGTGTACACAGATCTGTCCATGAGCACAGTCAAACAGACACAGGCCATTCCCTTCACTGGACCTTACTCACTGCTCGTCTGCCACCTGAGGAACCTGACTGGTGAGAACTGACATGAGCCACTACTGTACACAGAAGGATTATCTATTTGATTTTTGGGTTACCCCATGTTACTGTTCCATTGTTACACAGGTGATGTGGAAGAGGTGGAAGCCACAGAGAAAAACACGTTAAAGCTCTTTAAAAATATCGCTCTGACACATGAAGGTGGCATGGTGCTGCTGGAGGTAAGAAGTTGACATTCTGAAAAATCTCACCACCAACACAACACAAACAAATGTCACAAAAAGTATATGAAGTGAAATATGATGCTAGTTTCAGTTTTGTCACAGTTTAATTACTCAGTGTGAAACACTGTAATGATGCTAGTTTCAGTTTAGTCACAGTTTAATTACTCAGTGTGAAACCTGGGCCTGTTTAGTTGAACACCTCACTGATATACCTCAGGAGTTGAAGAAAAACATACGTGCAGATTTGCTTCAACAGCTCTGAGTACTGGGGGTTCTTGAGTTATGTCAACGTACTGTGTGATAAACTCGATTTTCAGCCGCTACCACCTAGTGGAGAACTATGTAATTGTTCTGCCTGTCAGTAGACAAATAAAGACAAATTATTTGCAGTAAATTTTTTTTTTTTCACACCAATTAAGTGAAATTGGACAACATTTTCACACTACACGTGAAGATTATTCCCAGTTTAGGAATCACTGGCCTAGGTGTGTTCAAGGTCAGGCCCAGGGACAATTGTAGCACAATTGTGTGTTCTACAAAGAGACTCATATCCATGGAACTATTTTTTTGCAGTGGATAGCAAACCCTCTGAACGACATGTACGCTGATGCTGTCACCACTGTAGTGCTGGAGGTCCAGTCCAACCCCAAGGCTCAGAAAGGTCAGACCTCTGCACCATGATTTGTTCCTGGTGTTGTGTTGTGGACTTCACTGGAACTTTTGTTTCTTCACCAACAGTCATGGAGGCACAGGGAGAAGTTATGGACGCTGATGTCTTCCAGTCCAGACTAGAAGTCATGCTGCAGTGAGTACCTTATGGTTACATCAGTACTAGTTATGTATTAACTAATACACTGTGTACTGTGTTTGAGTACTCTTCAAAGTTCCAAGAGAAAACTTTGTCTCTTCTCGTCAGGGACATGTTTGGAGAAGACTGCGTGGATTTCGTTGACCGTAAAAACATCTCCCTAACAGTAGATGGGAAGACAGTTCTAATCTGCCTGGAAACCAGGGTGAGTTAAAGTTAAAGGAGAATTACAAGGTGTGAAGTCGATCATGTGAGATACAGAACCACAGTAAACATCAAAAAAGTCGCATTTGTCATCAGTAATAAATAAATTGTTGCACTCAATTATTACAAGGATTAACATTAAAACACGTGTCAAACTCGAGGCCTGCGTGGTCATTTTGTGTGGCCTGCATGGGCTTAAAAAACATTCAAATGCCTCATACTAACAGATTCAGGGTATATATTGAATATACATTACAGTTCTTTAGTTCTGAACTGAGACATCTGTAGTTTCTAATACATGAAAATTAAATTGAAAAAGTGTCTTCTTTCTTCAAAAAAAAAAATCTTCCCGTTGTCCTTCTGCTGTTTCCTCAGTCCGTTTGCAACGCAGAGGAAGGCGCCGCAGAGGACGACTCCTTCAGGGAGACGGTGGAACTCGCTGTGCAGCGGCTCGACGCTCTCAACCCGGTCATGTGACGACAGACTGGACTTTAGGTCTGCTTTAAAGTCAGCCGCCAGGTTTTTCATACACTGTTAATAAACGTAAAAAAGGTTAACCATATTTGTGTGTGGAGAGTTAAGAAAGCAGCTGGTGCTGGATGAGTCTGGCATCTGTGTGGGAGTCATCTGTAATAATAATAATGATTCAGTTCCTAAACATACAACTGACCATTGGACCAAACTATTTTTTTTTTACTAGTATGTGTTTTCATGCTATTTTCCAGCTAATGTTTTGATTTTGTCTTGACTGAATGCAGAGACTAAAACAGGAAACAGAGAATGATGACAATTCATTCATTTCTTTATTACCTCAAAAATAAACCCTTCTTTTTACAATAAATATCATACGCCATTTTCTTTAGATATAAATATATTTAGATAAATATGATATACATCACAGGTGTCTTTGGAAAGGAAAGTGATCTACATGTCATTGGGACACAGCACACCACTCCACACAACCAAATGTGACCTCTGTTTTTAACCCATCACCAAAGTGGGGACGGTGCCGTGCTCAGAGCACCTCAGTGGTAACTTGGCAGCTGGTGGACTCGAACCTTCCAGACCCAAGTCCGCTTCCTTAACCACTAAGCCACCACTGCCCCAACATGAACAACATGATGTTGATGCTCAATGAAGAAGCAATCTATAAATAATGGTTCTTATGCCCTGCACCGTCCTCATCCAGCCCATTATTTTGTGGGCTACAGTGTAACACAGCTTCAACTGAGTCTTGGCCTCTTGGGTTAAAGATCATCAGCTGACCCAATGGCGTACAGTATTTGATTACTTCCCTGATTATTTAGCTTTACAATTTTGGCCAAAAGATAATGACATCAAGACACATTTCGGGGGAAATCATCAAACTTCCTAATCATACAAATAGACAAAAATCTGTAGTTTGGCGCTTGAGTAAACATGCAAAAAAAAAAAAACTTGAGGTGACAATGTTTTGGGGGAAATTATTCTCCACCTTTAAAGAGATTTAAACCAGACATACTTGAGTTTTTGTGTACCCTCAGCAGGGGGCTTTTTTTTATCCTGGTTTACCACGGGATGTTCTAAGTAGCAGCTAACAGGTGGGTGTCAAGTTATGGTGTAAAAGGAGCATTCACCCAAGGCACAGTCTCTACAGTGGATCCAACCATCATCGTCTGCTCAGCCGGGTCATGAGGGCAGCTACAATGGATTTGTCAGGTAAAAAAAAAAAATCTTTAAAGGTAGGAACTGCTAGATTTTTGAGACTCTGGGATTTCAGTCTCTGTTAAAACAAACAGGAACGGTGGTGTTGGTTTAACAGATCCATGGTGCTGAAGAGATCCATATATTCACGTGGGTTCAGGTTACACCACTGGTTATTCGACGGGGCTGTGTCTGTCTTATTGTGGCAAGTGACAAAATCACAAACGCATGACATTGTTGACTTGTACGTGTGTGACCCGTCCGCCTGCAGTCCAGATTTGTGTCCTACTGAAAATGTCTGGTGCGTCACAGAGACGACAGTAAACATGGACTGATGAGAGCCGTAGGCCTTTAATACATCACGACTGGGTGACAGTTTTACAATAATAAAACTGTAAGAATGAGAAGATGCTTCAGTTCCTCTGAGATCAATGCATGGATTTTATAAGACAACAGGTGGGGACCCAGCAGCAAATCAACACGGTACTCCTCTAGTCTAGACCATGTTGCAGGTGTTAACTTAGCCACCACATTGTCAAACTGTTAATATAATTATTAGCTATTTTTTTCATGAAATCATTCTTTGCAACTAATTAGTATTACCCAGGCCAGAAAAATCACGCCAAAATAAATTTCTGACCCATTCCCCAACTTCCCGCCCTTCTTGTTCTGTTCTTTCTCCTTGAGCTCCTCCTGTCTGCGGGCTCTGGTGTCCTTTTCTTTCCGCAGCTGATCACTGTAGTGGGACTTCATGAACTGGTCTAAGTCATAGATATCCGGCGACAAGATTTTATCTATAGCAGTGCGATTTTTCCTGGGCTGAATAATCGTGGAAGCCCGGACAGTTTCCTCTCTGGAGGGAGGTTTTTCTGTCTGTCCGGCGGTCAGGTCGTGCAGGCCGAGTAGCCCCCGGTCATACTTCCTCCTCAGAACCTTGTTCCCCAGTACCGTGTAGGCTTCGTTAATGTCAGAGAAACGGATTGTGGCTTCTTCACTCCCAGAATTCCTGTCTGGGTGGTAGATGAAGGACTGCTTGTAGTAGGCTGTTTTGATCTGGGCTTGAGTGGCACTCGACGAGACACCCAGAACGTCATAGTAGCCGGTTTTAGTTTTGTACAAAGTCTCAGCTCTCTGTCCGTTTTCCCCGTATTCTCGGACAAACACGAACAGCCCCTGAGCCCAGATGTGTCGGCCGTAGATGGAGGATATTGAACGTCCTCCAAACGTTGCGTTTCTCAAACGCTGACTTTTGTTGAAGAGTGAATACATTCGAGGTTTACGATCATATTTATTTACAGTCTTTCCACTCTTCCTCAAATTCTCATCAAAACCAACATACCCGGTCTGCAATGCACTTTTGAATCCTTGATCCAGATATTGTAGCTGGTATTGGTTGTATATTTTCTGTGCAAAGTCGAGAGCTCCCTTACGGGAACATCGGCTGACCCTCGCCATGTTTTCAGGGACAACGGAAGCGAGAGAGACGTCATTGCAGATCAGGTACATCCCACTGCCTACAGCGCCTTCGAACGTCAGGAAAGCGAACTGCAGGGAGAACGTAGTTTATTGACACCAAATCGAACCGAATACATAACACCCAATAAAGCCGTTTTATATAGAATATAAATAAATAAACACATTACAAACGTAACCATTTTGAAAATAATGATAGGCTATAACTGCCACCTAATTTTATACAAGTATGTTTTACTGTTAGCGTTAAGAAGCTATGCATCAACTTCGTAGTTCAAGTGCTACTCTCGGTTCTCCACTAGTGACACAATTCCACTACAAATTATACATACAATTGTGGGGGAAACTGTGCGAATCTTGAATTCTATTGTTTAAATGTATATTTATAAAACATTTACTTTTACTTCCTCTAAATAACTATGTTACTAGGATTAATAACAATACAACTATAATAGCAATAGTTTGTCAAATAACAACAATAGTAATACAACACCATATCATTATTTCTAATACAGGTAATATTGTAGTGGCGGCTGTAGGAGCAGAAGAGCAGAAAAAACAAAATTAAGAGAAAAACAACACGAGAAGAAAATGTTATCAATAACTAGTAGCAATCAATGATCAGTAAGTACGTCAAAATATAAGCAAACTAGCGCACACCTCCAATATAATCATAAAAATATAGTATGGTCATTTTTGTAATTGCTCTCGCAGATCCCGTAAATTGCCATTAGGTGGTGCAAATACACACTACAGACCAAAAGAGCCAAGTTTTAGATCTTGTTATATGATAAATATTGAGTCTTTTTTTTCATTGGGAATTAAAAAACGTATGTGTTTATAGTAAGAGTTCAGTTTGTCTTGTAGGAGATACCTGAAGATGACGTAGATTTAATATGGTAACACCAACCGTAACAATTACAGACATACAAGAGCACTGGTTAATTTGGTAATTTGTTGATTAAGACTCTTCAATACATCCCGAGTATTGCTTTCAGGATTTGTCTGTAATACAGTTTGCAATTTATTTATATAAAAATACCTATTAGAACCTACGTGTTGTGTAAATAATAGTAAAGAAATTAATTAATTATAATCTTTATAAAGCCGTGCCGTGCTATGTCAACAACAGGAATAAATCAGGGATGTCCGATAATATCGGCCAACTGATACAATAGACCTGATATTAGCATTATTATTATCTGTAAGAATCGCAAACGGCTGCACATATCGGTATCGGTTGATATCGGAATCGTAAATTTAGTGTTTGGACAATATCGGTATATTCAATCGGCAAAAACTTAATATCGGACATCCCTTGAATAAATGAATACAGTTGATCATACGATATCTGAACAAACTCTGCGGCTATGTAAACAAAAGCAAAATTAGAACAAGAAATAATTAACGAAAGATAACTTCCCTATGGTATATTATAACTTGTGGGCACAGTAGCGCCGACATTAAACTTGCTCATTGTGCAGTTCGGTCCTATAGCAGACAGGGAAGAGTCTTCCTAACGACTAACACGGTTTCAGCACAGCGCTTAAACGCTGCAGGGCATGAGAGAGTGATCTCTGTTCACTCAGAGCTGATGATCTCTTTGTGCAGATAAAGGAGCAGCGGAGCAATACAGCTGCACTGCCTGCCCCCCCTCCTCTGCCTCTTACGTCACTCTTTTTCTGCCTCACATGTGGAATGCCACAAATTCGTGAGGTCCCAGTTCTCAGGTCAATTCGTATTCATTTGACCCGGGACTCTGTAGACCAGGCTGCTGTCGGTCACAATTCCATTCACCGTAGATTCCATTTTTTTAATACACGACAGGTCAAAACCGATGGTTGTTCCAGAGGGATGGGTCGCCATCTCCCCTCCCACACCAACACCATTTTAATGTGACCAAAGATACCCTGCCGCCAAGATAGTTCAACTTCTGCACCAGCAGGTATGGCAACCCATGGCTCTACTGTCGAGGGCAACAAGCCTGTCATTTCCGATATCCGTATACAAGCAGAGTAAACAGAGAAAATAAATACATTTGACAAAATGCTACTTTTACTTTATGTTTTTATTCAAAGAAATGCTGTTGACGACATTTACAAATTAATTAAAACAACATAAAAATGCTTTTTTTTAGACACTTACAAAATAGTATTACGTATTTGCAATTCTACACTTTCGATTTCGTTTAAAGCATCCCCTGCATTTTATTACAGTTTAACTAAACCGAGCCTCTTGTACAAAAATATGTTTTAACCTATTAAGGGTGACAAACGTGATGATGCAATATTCACATGTGAGAATACACAAAGGGTGGGCTACGTCATATTTGCTATACAGGGCATGGTATGTTTTTATAAGGATAATATAAAAGACCTAGGATTTGATGTTGTTTCGTAACAGAAACAATACTTAGGTATCTTCATATTTTACAACTCTGTGGTTGGCTGTGTGTGTTTTTTTGTTTCACTTTGTTTTTAGAACTTAGACAGCAATACAGCAAAAGAAGCTCAAGTTAGTGGGGATGATTAAAATTAGCACAAAACCGACTACATATTTGCGTAACAAAAATAACAATAAGCTGTATTATTGGTTGAAAGACAGTGGAACAAGGTAAGCAAATAATATGGATAAGGTTAGCAAAGAAGAAAACTTAAAGTAAATCCAGAAGTGACTGAAATTAGATTAGCCCAGAAGCTAAAAGTGCTAAATTAATATTTTTTAGAAATACATCTTAAGTTTAAGACTTATATTAAAAAAAGAAAATGTTTGTAAAAGCATTGAAAATGTAGTCAGAATCAGCTGAGCACTGTATTAGCAAGAAACAAAACAGCAGTTTAAGGTAGAAAAAACTAATGACCAGTCGTGCTTTCCAAACACTTATTGTAAGTAGAAAAGGCACTTCATAAAAGGACTAAAACAAATGCTATACAATTTTTAAACAGTAATCTTTTTACATCGTAGTTTAAAACAGTAGTTAGAAAACAGTTTTGTGGGGTACGGTGGTTGTACAGGGAGTCGGACAAAAACGGATGTGCATGGCACAATCTCGCTGCAACTACTACTCTTTGTGCGGTGGTGTGTGCTGTGGATTACAACCGACCAGTGCGTCGCAACAACAGCAGCAGCAGCAGTAGGAGCAGCGGCAGCAGTGAATTTCACATCACAGCAGCAGAAGGAGGAGGAGAAGAAAGAGGGAGAAGAGAACAGGAGGGACAAGAAAGAGACACAGGGAAAAGGGATTTACGGATCCTCGACCAAGCATGGCTACACAAACGACAGCATCATGCACCGGATCCACATTACTGCAGCCCATCAGCGACATCATCAACCTCCCTCTGGACCAGGTAGGCTTTTTGGGTGGATGTAACAGTATTTCACGATCGGCCCCGGGTTCAAAACGATGCTTTTGTTTTTAAACTGCATATTCATGTGTGTTAGCATACATATCTGTCACGTTAGCACTGGACTGGGATGGTAGTGGGCACGTCTGCGCCGTTTTCGCCCAAGTGCGTTAAGGATTCAGCAGAAAAAGGACAACGAAAATCAGTGTCATTGTCTGGATCTGACCATCGGCTTGTCAAGCCTCACCACAGCTGTCTCCTCTGTCGATGCTCAGAGCTTGACTCCAGTGGTTATGAGCCTGACATCACCGCTGGACCTGATCTCCATCAGTCTAATCTGGATTAAGCACTTACATTTCACTTAGCATTCACTTCATCCACACTGCCACGATGCAGTTATTTCAAAAAATATTTTTTTAATCACTGATAAGAACGCTGTGTATCAACCACGACCACTTGATTCTGGATTTTTCTTTTCACCCAGTGACACAGTCTTCAGCGGTTTAAGGTTTGGTACCTTTCCCCAAGCACACTTCAGCTTCATGTAGACCAGGGGTCTCCAACTCAAATGAGCTGAGAGCCTCTCATTACCAGAAATCCCAGATATTCTTTGAAGAAGTAGTATTTGTTTAATAATACTCCAAATCAAACAGCTGAAACAAATCTTTATTAATGACCCACTGAATCATTTTAATAATTGATTTTTTTTTAAAAAGAACTAAATATACACCTCAAGGAAAGAATTAATTTATTATTGACGTCAAGTCGAGGGCCTGAAGGGGTTGGCTTTGTGCTTTGGAAATTGGCCCATGGGCCACGAGTTTGAGAGCAATGATGTAGAGATCTGTACCACGGATCGTCACAGGTTATTGTCAGTTTGTAAATGCATAATCGTGTGAGTTGATTTATTCTAAATCAAAGATATAATTGGCAGGCATTCGCTAAAACAATCATTTACATACACAGTGAAGCATTCACGATTTTCCTTTATTTTCAAGGTACATGTAGTTAAATTCTCTCTGTATACAACGTGTGTGTCAGACCTGTTCAAAACTGTGGAGATCACAGCTGAAGAACCAGTCAGGGCATAAACTGGCACTGACATGTGGTTGTTTGTTTATTCGCCACACCTTCTGCAGTTTTGAACCAGTGCCAGAATGAGTTCTTCACTAGCCTACAGTGAATGTGGGTCGTTGTGATTCATCATTAGTTATTTTTGGGTAGACATTAGTTTACGTTGTTTGCATTGTGTGCATAGAATATTTTCTGTAAACATCTGTCAGCGCTACGCCTACATGTGGCTCAGGCCAGGTTCGAACCCTGTGTCTGCTTTGGTTCGTTGTGACATTGTGAGAGTGGAACCATGTTGGTTGATGCCAATTCATCAGACGCACATTCACTGTGACAATTTCCTGCTCCTCCACAACACTTCAGTTCCTTCACAAGGAACTGAAGTGAATGTTGAATGTGAATGTTCAGGGATGTAGGTTAGATTTTTTTAATTATGTGGGTTGGTCATAAATTAATAAACAGATTGGAGAGCAATTCTCAGGGATGCTAAGAAATATGCTAGTCGACCGGAGAGTGATTGGAGTCAAAAGGTCTTTGGCTTGATCATCAACGACTGGCGACCGGTCAGCACTGGATTTGCAGCCTGTCATTTTCTGAGTCAGAGAACAGGAGAAGATGTTCACTCTGACAACCTGGAGATAAATCGTCATCAGTTTGGAAGTACGTTATAGAGAGCAAAGATACTTCAGGTCTTAATAATAGTAAGGTTAACCATGGTGAACCTAATTTGACACATACATCATGCAGCTGAACCTGTCGAGCGCAACCAAATCGAGCATTTTTTTTTTCTGACGTAGCGTTACCAGAGCTTTTTCAAGTCGTGGGAAGGTTTGTTTACTTTGGCACGGCATGTTATTAAAAAAAATCATCTCTCAGGTGACAAGGTGGAGATGTTTTTGGTTGACAAAAAGAACAAAAACAAAAATGTGCCATTAAAAGAGCCCTAGTCCCACAGGTGTGCCGTACATGTTGGTGAAGCCACTTCATCTGCTGGAGACATGGAGACGTCTGACAGACTTCTGAACCACTTTGTTTTCTAAGGGAGCTAAAAAAAAAGCATTGTTTGATATTCCCTCTTCTCTTCCCCCTGCACTTCCCACTTCAATAGACGGAGAATGCTATCTTTTTCTTTCTTATCTGCATGTGGTCACACACAGATGAGACCATTTCCTCTGACGAGTGCTTTCACAAGCTTTATGACTGTATTCACTGATTGAACACCAACTCACACCAGTTGTGTTGCGTCCTCCGCTGACGTCTGGTCAAAATGAGACTTTCAATTCATATTGAAGGTGCTCGTCCGACGTCGACATAAGTCGGGTCTTGTTGCCGCTTGGAGGTGACGATAGCGCCACCCTACCTGCATGTGCAGACAGGAATCTCTCATTATGCGTCTCCACCCTGAAGACATGTAATACTGTGACAATGAATGCTGCACGGCAAGAATTCACCCACGCTGTCTGGTTTGGTCTTTGGAACCGGAACATTTCCTGTAGTCTCAGGGTCTGGAACATAAACTGTAAATGGAATGATTTGTAGCAACAGTTATTCATCATTAATTTTTAACGTTTTCTGCAGCCTGTGTCACAGTTTTTACGCGCCTTGCCTCGGTGCTAGAGCAGTTCACTCAATGGAGATCCACCAATCATTGAACAGGAAATGAAACGCCCCTCCCTCTGTCATGTATTTCACTGGTATTGACTC